ATTGGTGAATGTTAGAAAAACTAAATCAAACAATTAAAAAGGAAAATATTTTCCAGTATTAAGTTAAGAATTCTTATTTACTCGTAAGTTAGATATGCCAAAGTTCCTGGATTTTAAGTAAATAATTATATTAAGTTAAATTTTACTTAGTAAAACCGAAATCCCTCCTCTAGCTGCTTAAGCCGCAAGGCAATAACTTAATGTATCAGACTTATAAAAATAAATTCCAGACGTACTGTGGAGGCGAAATTGATTAAAATAGCGCGTGCCACCTTTATTCAAATGTTTGGAATTGTTTAGGGATGCAGTTGGCCCGTGCAGCCTGCAGTCCCTTTGGCTCAGACTGGGTGCACGCGGCCCTTTATGTCCTTCTGCTTTCCGCGGCATCGAACGCCGATTCTTGGAATCTTGTGTTTTGCAGCCAACGGTTCCTCGGGCCCTTTGACAACCGGACGCTGCCGCCGCCGTCGTGGCATCCACTGTGTGGCCCTTTCTGGAAATTCCGTCGCCTCTTCGCTCTTATGGAAAGCGCCTCTACAGCGACGCCGTGCCACGAGGTACACCGCAAACATCATAAACTATCAGTGTTCGTGCTAAAGGCATAATATCGTCAAACTGTATAAAGAAAAGAAGACGAAGACCATCCAGATCCAATCAGTTTAAAATATGCCTTGACTACGGACACAAATAAAAATTGTAATCATGAAATAAATTATTGTGCTTGGCGAAGTGCGTAAATTGCAAAGGGTATCATGAAGCAAATGTTAGAGATTTGTCCTCACTGTAGTGTTATATTCGAAAGAAATATTAATATTGTAAACAGTAGATATAAAACTACCACCAACCGAAAGGTCACATCCCTCTCCCCAAAACTGAACAAGCAAAGTTCCTAAGTCATGCCAAGTAAATTCCTTCACAACTCCACACACATTAACAATGCCCCACGCCTAAATCAGAACCCACAATTTAGCCTGTTCAAAGCATAATAGTAATTCACAAACCTCTTAATCATGTAATCCCTTTCTAAGCACAGTAATCAAATGATAGCATTAATTTCTTTAACTCATACTTTAATTACAACAATACAAAACTAAGTATCGACTTATTCAAGCAACAGTCATTACATTTCATCTTCATAATAACCTAACACTCATAAACTTAATTAATATCAAAAGCTGTAACCTTTGAGGGTATTAATTCACGAAATGCCTTAGTGTATTCAATATTTCAAAATAATGTTGCTTGTTAAAATGGTTTTATTATTAATATCGTTTTAGAGAGGCATACGGCATTGGTAATCCTAGTAATTTAGATTACTTCTTTGTGCGGTAACTCATCTAGGGTCTTTTGTGGTTGTGGTTCACAAAGAATTGTTTTCCTCATTTTGCTTGTACTAGAAACACGATGAATTAAATGCCTATTAATGACGAAAGAAATTCAAGAAGAAATAAATATTTCGAGGTGAAATAATATTTCACAGTCAAAAATTTCATAGACGAAATAATTTAAGACGAAAGAACGAATTCAATGCAACTAGATGCGCGTAATTGTCACGTAAGGATGAAATGAATAACAAAAATGATAATGTCATTCTTCGTGGACAGTTAAGATTAATGGCCATTCGGACAAATTCTGAAATGTTATTTGTAATAATTTATATTTGAATAGGCATTTCATATGTAACGTTCATGACTGATGTATGTTGACTACATTTTTACATATCTCTCTGGCGACTTTGTTTATTGCAGTACCGTTGTGAAGCGAAAGGTGGGAAGTACCTCTTACTGAGCGTTCAACGTTAGTGTTTTTAGATCCCTTCTTGACAACTTCATAATTGAATGTTACAAAGTGATGTTACAAAGAGCTGTGATGGACCACAAAGTCATTCGTGATAATTTTGGATTCTGGTGGAAAATTCTTTTCAGTGGCGGTTTGTCTGCAATTTACTTGAATCATCTTGCAAAACTGAAATTAGAAAAAAAGTTTATCTGCGAATATCATTGACAGGGCTTCGTAGGCCCAATTACAAACTGTATCGTTTTGAAAGAGTTGTCGCAATCACGCTGTCACAAATTAAGCTTTTGAAATTATTCTTGACAATACATAAGAATACAATTTTTTTACCTTCTCTAGGATGTAACTCATTTTTATTATATCTGCTATTTTTTCCGCTAACTTAAATATTTTGTTGTGATTAACACCATGACCTAAGAATTCAAAATTTTCCTGAAAAAGTAACAATTTTCGATTAATATGACGTACGAAAACTATCTTAATCTACGCTGCTTCTTAAATGAATGTAAACTAATATTGACTAAAATCGATTTTTATTTAAAAAAAGATAATACCAGGGTATTCAATAGAATTATCACAAGCTAGAATCCATCGGGAGAGATATACGCCAAGTTTCTGAATCACAATATGAAGCAAAAAACCTACGATCTATACTTTGTCACATGCACTGAGCTCGATAACTTTAATAAACTTAGTTCTTCTGTTGGCGGTAGCTTAACAAGTGCCCCGAGCGAGGGAAGGTGTCGCTGTTCCCCTTCTGTGGGTAGGTAGAGGGGGAGGTCTTGTCGGGCGCGGCTATCACGTTTTCACCGCAACACTACTGCTCCCACCGGCAGCTCCGAGTACTCGTTCAACTAGTGGCACCACTGGGAGAGGAACTCTACCCGACTCCGGAACGAAACATGCACCGTACTTAAGATACTAATGACAATGGCAGTTTACGCGCCCTAAACCAGCGAGTAATCAACTGTACGAGTACTAATGGCACTTCTGTCAGAGACTTAACCCAACGGAAGGCCAATCCTGATAAAAAAATGTATACGGTCTATTGTTACGACAATTTACGTGCTAATGCACTAAAAACTAGTTAAACAAAATGAGATAGTATCCATAACATATTCAGCACTTGAGAGGAAGATCTCCTAGTTTTAAATGGTTGTAAAAGAAGGAATTAGGCGTGCCCTATATTGAAGGGGGCGAGTGAATATCAGGATCGGAGTGCAAGTGTCGAGTGAAGCTTCAACGGGATGGTGAATATCTTTTCGTAATATTGTCCGTTAATACATCTTCATAAGGCAAGGCCATTGATGAATGAAAAGGTATTTTTAATGACCCCCGGCCGTTAATTTCTTAACGGCCGGCGGCCGTTAAGAGGCCAGATAATCTTCGAAGTATTTATGAAAGTATTTTTTTCTTGTACAATTCAGTGTAGCTAGCACTCCGTTGCTCATGGTTTCTATATATTCAATGACAAGTTCGTCTTGCCCCTAAATGGGACAAGGGGACAAATACGACAAGGGACAAATGGAACAACGTGGGGCGACGGGACAAGGTGGGTCAGGGGGCCAAAATAGGCAGGGGACAATATGGGACAGGGGACAAAATGAACAGGGGACAAAATGAACAGGGGACAAAGGGACAAGAGGACAAAATTGTTGTAGTTCACGATAAGATCTTGTAAATGTCGCATATGAAGCAAGAATCGTATAGGTTTGAAATGGAAGATGGCATTGCAATTCTATGTATTAAAAGCAAAAGGTTTCTTATTTATATTATTTTTTCGTATAAGAAGATGGTATTAAGAAAAGTATTGAAACACACACAAATAACAGACTTAGTTGTTGCCTCGGTTTGTTGCCTCGGTTTACAACCTTCAACCGCGTCTATTATTTGGTGTTTATAGTGTAACGTATTAGCCAGCGTGCCTCATGGCATCTATTTGGGGACGCTTGGTTGCGGATTAGTCTCGCCACAGAAGGGTTTTTCCGTAAAGGGAAGAACGCGGAGACGGGAGACACAAGGCTTTGGGTGTCTTCCGGCTTATAGAAGCTTTTCACTGTTATAACAAGCGAGGGGGTGGCGTGACGTAGTAGGTCACGTGGACCTCGCCTATATAACAGAGTGTACGGAGCCAGTAGGCAGGTTCTGGAGACAGTGGGAGAACCTCGTGCGTGTGCACAAAACTTGGCGCCAAGACGGTGCATATGCGAGCCAGGCTCGCGAGGCTGGAGTCATTAGTTGACGAAGCCTGCGGACTTTATGTCCTTGGGTGACTGCGGTCACGGGGGAGCGATGCTGTGTGCGTGCTCCGAGGTGAAGAGTGGTTGAGTGCCACGATTCACGCCGATTCTCAATCGGATAAGATCGCTCCTGCGATCGAGGCAAACCAGCCGTTGGTGCGCCAGAACGGACTTCGTGTCCCAGCGTGACATCCGGTCACGGAAGCTAGGCTTTGTGCGCGCTTCAAAAGTAGGAGTGGCGAATGCCACAATCAAAACCATCTTCAATCGGGTTTTGGATCGCTCCCGCGATCAGGGGATAGTAGGTCTATCAGAGCTAGGGTTTAAGTAGATTATTAAGTGTATATATTTGTTTTGTTTTCTTGTTAATAAACATATTTGTTATACGAAAGCTCTGTGTCTGTGGTCGCTGTGAGTATCCATGACGTCACAATAGGCTTAATGAAGAAAATAACTATAACACTTCGAATGATTTTCATATGTTAAAATGTCTGATACAGAAGCAATGGACGAGTTAATTTGAATGTTATCTTGAGTTTGATTGTTCACTTCATTATTTTTTGTTTTGCACAGCGTGATTAAATGCATTCGATTAAAACGGCGCCACTACGTTCACTGTCGCAAGTGGTATACTGATGCTTTCTTCGAGGTTTTTGGATTTTTCTCTCAGACGCCGTATGAATGGAATGTAGCGAACATAAAATATGTATACGTTTACGTAAAGTGATTTTGGAAGTAGAGCGAGGCTGATAGAGGCGCGGAAATGGAATGGGAAGTGTCAACAGTCAACAATATGAACTGAAAAAAACGAAAGGAGCATTGTATATAGTTGGTATTGTAATGCATTTCTTTGTTTACATTACTTTCACTTTTATTTCTTACCATATAGTTTTACATAAAATGTTCTGTTGTGAAAAAGTGATTTTAATCTCCCACACAATTTGCAAATACATGATAACCTTTCCAAAAATTGTTTTCTCCTCAATTGTTAGACTTTAATTCATAATACTTTATAATTATATACTTAATTGTTTATTACATGCTTTCTGTACATTAATAATACTATAAATTCTTTATAATGAATGCTTGTATATTGAAGCATCCCACAGTTGTCGTGCTTCCGTCATCACCTTCTTCCAAGAAACTTCCATAGACTTTAAAGAAACCATTAACAACAGGTAATGGAGTTGTCATGTCATCAATTTCGATCACTTCCTCCTTCAAAGGATATTCTCCCTGAAAATATAACCACGGGTTTAGGTGTTCAATTCTTATCAGATTGCTCAGAAGAGAATGATTGGCAATAGCTCTATAGATGTATGTGTTGAAATAGACTTATGTGAATTTGTGCGGGGGGTATTTATTCCAATATTTCCTCAACTTTTAAACAAATTTTAAAATGATAATATTGTTTAGTTCATACTTTTTAGTTCGCATTATTTGAATTCCAAAGCCAAATATATTAACCATATATTAAATCTTTAGTAATTTCAAATATTTTGATTATGTGCCATATTATCATTCTAAGCCTAAGTGGGAAAAATGTAACATCTTTATGAACTCTACATTCCTGAAGCAATCAAAGCAATGGTTTGCCTTTTACGTAAACTCCATGAGGGATGATAGTGGGATCAAAGAGACGGAATTGTCATAATAGAATAATAAATATGGATGGAATGATGTTTCGTTTGTTGTGTGAAATGCAGCCACACCACAACGGGACCTTAACTGCTCCACATTTTTTGACATTCAAGAGTTTGAGCTAACGAGAGGTTCATATTAGGAGCAATAGCCTTCAAATAGCAAGCAAAGCGCAATAGCAATCTGGGCTTAGTTACTCTGCCGTTAATTTCCGCAAGCAAGCAATACGTGCGTGTTGAGCTCTGGTGTGAAACTAACGATGTACGTATGTATGTATTTTGGCATAACAGCTATTTACAAGCTAAGGCCTACCAGCAGCGTGCCGGCATCGCGGCCATGGGTTATGGAGTACGTGGGGTTAACACATAGGGTGGTATGAATAAAGGTAAGCAAGTACTCTTTGCTCCGAGTTTCCGAGATCTTACTCAGTTTCGTATGAATAAAGTGGTAAGCAATTGCTCAGTCTCTAAGTACTTGCTTCAGCTCTGAGCGTACTCTCAACTGGCGAGCAAATGCTCAGAATTGGTAGGAATAAAGTTAAGCGTTTGCTCTCTACAGTGAGTACTTGCTCCAAAATTTCGGAGGGACCTTAGTAGCAGACTCACGTTTGAAAAGTAAGGTTAAATTGGCCGATTTTTTTACCGTGTGTTGATATACATATACAGCGGACTAAAAAAATGCAAGATTAGGCGAAATTCTCGTGATGTAGACTTTTATAATCTTTGCCGAATCGAAAAGTACAATGTATGGTTGGTACGATTTTTATCGGCGTTTGCTTTTAGGCGCGTTTTCATATTGCATATCTTCTATGTTAATTGGCCATCGCTCTTTTCTACTTGGAATTTTTCGGGGTACTGTTTTTTGAAACTTTGTAATGTTTCGTTTCGGCCACAGCGTACTTCCGAAAGCTGGCTCTTTTCAAAAATAATTTTATATTCACTTAGCATTTCGGTGAAAATTAGGTGGGCCACTACCGCCTGTTTTTGGTTACTGCTATTCATATTCTAATTTGAAGAATGAGACAACAAACTATTGCTCTTTATTCCGCACAAATGTGCGCGACGCGCGTAACGTATGCGCGAGCCATTTGTTGCTCAAGAACCCAATTTTTAAAACTCTTAGCCTGCACTAACACTTGTTTACGACGAGCAAATGCTCGCGAGACATGAGTAAGTTCTTCGGAGACATACGAAGTTTTTATTCATACGAAATGGAGCTTCTGCTCAGTGCCGCGGAGTAGACTCACTTTGCTCCGGAGCAAGTACTCATGAGAAAGTGCTCATTTTTATTCATATGACCCATAGCCATCCTTACGCCTTTTTTTAGTCATCTTGTGTCGAAAAGTGAACTTTCTAATTGTTACACAGCAACAGACACTAGAAAATTGCAAGGAAAGCGCACAATTATTTTTTCTCCGACCGGGAATTGAACCCGGGCTTGAGACATGGACAGCGATCACGCTAAACAACGCGCCACCGAGGGCTTGAAACTAACGATATTACGTAATATTATATTATTCAGGGGAGAAAAGTTGAAACTTCGAAAATACGTTTTTAAGACATATTTTGTGTTCTTTGCATATTCCAAATGGCTGAGCCGCAACAAGCACTCAAAAGTTGGTTCGTAGTAATCCTTTCTGTACAAAAATTTGCATTGCAGAAATACTATATAAATACCCTAGAAACATGAAAATTATATATTATTTACAATCGAAATTTATATATTTGATCAGAAAGAAAAATTAACACAGAAATAAAAAAGAACCCAATTTACACTTTTCGACTGCTTTTATATTTCTGCGTTAATTTTTCTTACAAGAAGAAGCACTTAAACATTACATTACTTTTACAATGCAGGATGTCAAATCTAATGTTAAAATATTTAGGGGGCTTAGAGGGGTCCATATGATCGTGTTTACAAATGAATATGTAGTGCAAAACAACGAAGTTGTGTCGTTTGCCCCTGATTTGTAGGCAACCCATCACGCATTGGTGCTTAGCGGGTACACGAAATAGCTTTACGCCGCAACTTCGACGTAAGCTATCAAGAAACCCTGAACTAATTCATCTGGACAGAAGGGCCCGGAAACAAACTACTGGGGAGAACAACGATAATTACAGTGAAGGATGCCTGGAACCGATCAATGCCAAAGAGGTCGAAAACAAACCACACTCGGAAACCGATGTACTGGTGGACTGACAAAACCTTGGAACTGAGAAAAAAAGTGCCTTAATAACAGACATCAATGTACGTGCTCCAAAGGATTACAAACACAGAGAGGCTCTTCAACAATCCAGACAGGACCTAAAACGTCATTAATGATAGTAAAAGTCACTGCAGGTCGGAGCTATTAAAGGAAATAGAAAACGACCCATGGAGCACACCGCACCAAATTGTCACAACAAAGCTAAAGAGCATGTTTGGATGAACCTACAGGAGTAATCCAAATCATAAATACACTGTTTCTATCGCATCAGAAACCCTCGAAGCAACAATGTCAGCCATGTAAAATAACAGTAGATCAAATGTTCCAAATGTTTACCCTCAGAAGCACTACGGAAAATATGCAGTACCCTTAAGAACAAAAAGACTCCAAGACTCGACGTGATACAAAGACAGAATCAAAGTTTCATTCCAACTTCTCCTAAAAGCATATTACAAATGCTTGGGGAAAACGTTTTTTTGAGGGTATGGAAAAAATAAAACTTGCTCTCTTCTTAAAAGGCCGCAAGTTACAGTCCATATCTTACAGATTAATCTGCCTAATAGACACATTGGAAAAGTATTCGAGGGTCTGATACTAGATAGACTGCACATATGTGTAGAGGAAAAATGCAGTCTGTCGCAAAAGCAATATGGCTTTCAAAATGGTAGATCGACAGTCGACGCCATCAAAACAGTCGTAGAGAAGACCAAAGAAGCAACGAAGGAAGCAAAACAATAATTCTTTGCCATCGTAACGATCGATATTACGAGTAAGAATGGATTTAATTCGCCCAAATAGAAGAAAATTATGAAGGCTCTGAGATAAAACAACACTCCAAAATATCTCACCAGTATGATAAGGAGCTATCTGGCAACCAAAAAACAAATTACGAAGGCAAAGGAGAAACTATAAACACCGAAATAACCTGTGATGTCCTACGAGGATTCATAGTGTGTCCTATCTTATAAAATATTATGTACGACAGTCTATTAAGCATAAAACTCCCGCAAAACGTCTCAGTAGTGAGATTTGATGACAGTCCGATAATAGTGGCAACGGCGGAAACATCAGCTCAACTAGAAGTCATTGTGAACGACGCCTTGAGAAGAGTGATGATGTAGTTAAGGGTTGAAAGTTGCAGTACATAAAAGGGAAGCGCCACTCGTCACGGTCAGACGATCCTACCTCAATCCAACATTCTTAATAGACAAGGAAAAATAGAATGTCGCATAAGCCTTCACTACCTATGAATTGAGATAGACAGGAAGCTAAGTTTTGGACCACACATTACCGAGATGACGAAAGTATTCTCAAGATTGATGCCGAAAACCAGGGTGCCCGGGGCCAGAAATATGACTTCTTATGAGTGCAATGCATTTGAAAATGCTTTTTTCGGCTCCGATTTGGACAGACGCCCTCCTGAACTAGAGAAGGAAAATACAGACGGTCCAGAGTATTGGAGCTCTACGAATGACATTGGAGTATAGAAGTGAACCCGGAAGTGTTGTTCAATTACTTCCACCCATTGACCTGCTTGCTTTAGAAAGGAAAGAAGATCATAGCTACTCCCATGAGAAGACAGTCAGCAGACGGTGAATAAACCATGATCAAGAACGCGTAAATAAAAGAAACAAAGAAAATGTGATGCGTCGCTGACAATGGCGCTGAGACAGAGAGGACCGGCAGATGGTCTAATAGGCTCATCCTAAACATATCCAACTGCACGAGTCGCAAACACGGGCCTATGACATACTATTTAACCCCGGCTTTCGCAGGGTATGGGCGCTTTGAACCATGCCTGAAGAGATTCAGGACATGACATGTATCCACTGCATGCATGAACTAGACGACGCCGAACGAACGCTGTTCTGCTGCCCGAGATGGAATACACTAAGAAAGACATGGCATGATATGGGAGGTCGGGTGAAATGTCATAGCAAAAAAAATTATGACAATGGTTTATAACAAGCAGAAGTGGATGGCAATAAACAGATATACCACCGCCCCTTTCAAGAAGGAAGAAGATGAAAGAAACAGTAGTCAAAGTCGAACTTAAATAGAACTTAAAAGTTCTACCGCAGACACCATTCCGAAGTTCCCGGATGGAAAACAGCAGAAACACACAGAGTTTGTGTTTTAAGCGCATAAAAAAAATCTTACACGTTCTGGTAATTTCCACACCTTCTCACGTAAAAATATATACTTGCTAGATAGAAATTTAATAGATTTGTTGCTGGTTGTCAGAAAACCTTTTTCATTTATTGTATTAACTGCCAAGTGCAGGTATTGATAGTGTTCACTCTAGCGGAAAGCTCTTTCGTTTGCTTATTCCGACGAACTTCATGACTAATGAGGTTTTTGTGGACAATCTAACGATCTAGAAAACAGACGTAGTTTCATGTGCACTACACGGTCGTAGTGTTCCGATGCACCGTAATGATAGAACCACTCGCTGGTCCGACTTGCAGCAGCTCCGTAAGAACTCCGTAGGATTCTTGCCAGTAAACTGCACACGCGCAGGATTCTTTCCAAAAAAACTGCATACATAGCAGCAGATATTGAGAATCCCTTGACCGATTTGACACTCTATATCACGGTACAGTGTGTTGTGAGGTTTGTGTATACATTCTAAAAAGTACAAAAATAATGTATTCTAATTTGTCAATAGATGCAAACTGTGCTGCCCCTTGTTTCAGATACGCCTGAACACCTATATACATAACAGCACCTATATACATGACGCACAACTTAAGTTTTAATCTAAGTAACTAATTAACACCCAAAACGGTGCGCAACAGAAATTGTGTGCAAACTAACGTTACCTACTTCGGCAACCGGGCACGTGTGCTTCAGGGTGGGCATTTTCTTGACAATGCCCGTCCACAGCCGACGATCGGCTCCAAGTTGGGAGCAGAACTTCTGGAACGTCCCGGAAGTGAAGTGCTGACAAGTATCGGGACTGGTGGCATCCTTGCACTGCCAAATGGACAGCTCCAGCTGAGGGCAGATGGCGCAATTGTGTATGAGACAAAGGACTACTGCTCAAAAGAGATAGCTATAGAACATAGTTTTATAAAAACATGCGGAATAAGAATGGAAATTTCAAGCCGTGAAAAAAAATACAGTCTACAAAGGAGCATAATAAATACTTCAAATATTTTTCTTCTCGCATGTTTTCAAATTGCCAAAATGTGTACCTGAAATACATATTGAATCTCGGAATTTCCATGTTAATGTAATTTATTCATCAATATTACTTCCTTCAATCATTTGTCTTTTTTTTCAAAATATAGTGATTACCGCGTCATTTTGACTGAACTCTTAAACATTTTGCTTGTGAATATGAGAAAATTTGTTATTAAAAGCCCTAAATTGCGTATTTTTTTCAATCAAATCATTAAAACCACAATTGCATCAATTTTGCCTCAAACAAAGCAAAGATCGCTCACATAGAACCTGCAGGTCTAATATTCATTGCAATATTCGTCTTCCATCGATTGAGTACTAAAATATAGCTCAAGCTAAATAAGCGTCGTTACTTTACTGAGTGTTGGGCCACAAAATATAAAATAAAACTCGAAACTGCCGTCGGTTTTGCGGCGCTGGAGAGGAACTGATGAGCTCGGCTTGGAAGGTCACGGTTTGGGGTCCGGCGTGTCATCATTGCTGTGAGGTCTGTCCCACTAGCCGCACATACACCGAAAACAAAGAACTGTTCGAGTATACCAGAACCACGATACTGTAACAAGTTTCCTTGTCACAGTATCATGGATCTGGTATACTCAAACGGTTCTTTTTTCTCAGTATCATGGATCTGCTGTACTCAAACGGTTTTTTTTTCACCGTATCATGGATCTGGTATACTCAAACGGTTCTTTTTTCACAGTATCATGGATCTGGTATACTCAAACGGTTCTTTTTTTCACAGTATCATGGATCTGGTATACTCAAACGGTTCTTTTTTCGGTGTACTCATTCCCATAGTCCGCGTTTGATCCTGGCCCGTGCGTCGGCGAAGGGGCATGTGGTAGATGCCTGGGTATTTCTACACTTGGTCGGCGCCATTCCTCGCTCCTTCCTTCTCCTCCTGCATGAGTGGCGATGGTTTCTAAGAGCGTACGGCAGCACTGTCCCTTGAGCACAATATTACTTCCGCCCGTTCCGTCAACTCGGAGATCGCGAGCATCACTAGCCACGGGTGACAAGTTCTCTCGATAATAGGTGTCTGGGGTACACCAGTGGAAACTAATGGGCATCAAGCAAGAGCGACAAGGCAGTATACGCAAAAATGCACCAGCCTAAGCCGGAAGGAGAACCTCTACCCGAAAGAGAGAAATACGCCTGTAAAAGTGTATAAAAAATAAACTGACACCGATATTTTAATACTTAGATTGCTTACACATTTTGTGCTAATCAATACAATCAACACACATCGGACTACACAATAGTTGCAGCTATCTGGGACTGAACATAGATACAAAACTCAATCGGCAACAATTTACAAACGATAAAATAACTCGAGCCCGATTCAAACTTGCACAAGTAAAAGCAATGAAATACAACTACTTTCCTTACGATAATAACCTTTCTATTATAAGACTGTCCAATCGTGTAAACCAAGTTGAAAATGCATATTTTAAGGCTCCACTTCACCCAAAACTCTCGTGTTTTCGATAAACTCCATTAACCGTTATATGAAATGATTCTGCTAACAAATGCGACTCTGTACAAGAAATGCTCGGGATGTAAATATTAAAGACCGAGAGATATTTATAAAGAATACATTAGTCGAATCTTTTAAAACAACAAAAGAAAACATCAAAGTGACATTTATGTCACTATATAGCGATTTAGCTGTATCCGTAGGAAATATTTAAAGAAAAAACTAGAGCCGTTTCTCAGAGAAAATGATGTTTGAGCGTTTGAAAATATGCGCAATTAACAGCTAATTTTCACACATAACTGTTTAGTTTTCGAGAAACATCATTATAAATTATTTAAAGTTTCTGTACTCGCAGACGCAATTAAGTGTTAAAACATCCGTGTTGTAAATATTAAAAACGTGAGACATCCTTACTAGAAATACAATTTTGTAATTTTTGGATAATCAAAAAAAGAGAGTCACATTTCTGATATTTTATTCAGTGAATTTACGACTATCGTTAAAAAGGAATAAACTAAGGAGAGAGTGAAGTACACTAGATGGCAGAGGCCCGATATTCACAGTTTACTCTAAATTTTCGAAAATTAAAAACGTTTCATCTTTCGGCGTCTTCGTAAACCTATAACATGGGTCGAACTTTGCTCTCACCGGTTCTTCCTTGTAACGAAGCGAATAGTGTAACATTAACGGTCTGTTGTGAAAATTTGAAGTGTGTGTAATAATGGCACAAGAAGAGAGTAAGGAAAAAGCACACTCACAAGAAGTGGCATTATTAGCAACTTCTGAAAATCCAACTTTTCCTCCAAAAATTGAACCGTCAGAATAATCAGATTTGAAATTTTAATATTTGTTATTGATTCCGAAAAAATATTTCTGTAAATTAATAAAGAAATCTCTTTTGTATTATGCTTATTCAATGTATATTGGCAGTTTAAATGCAAAAGCACTGTGTTTATTTAATCTTTTCAATTAAAAAAAGGATATGTTGATTTTTCAAAAACCCGCGCTTTGTTTCCATAGAAGGTTTTTCAAATAATCGCCGGCGTATTAGCAGGGCAGGAGTTAATAATATCGTATTTCATAACAATACATATCGGGGAATGTATGTGCTAGGTATATGGTCTTGTATAAGTAGGGAGTGTTATGTATTGCAGTAAAAAGTGCGCTCGTTGCACCTCAATATATAATGACCTAACTGACAGCTTTCTCACAACTCAGCACTCTAAACCGTACACAACATTTTCACTACAATGTAATCTGCAACCGATGTTGGTGATGTAACGGGGATACGATAGAAACGTATCTTTTAATTTGTAGACTACTTTACATGAATCCCTAGGGCATTATCAGCATCATCACAAAATATAACTAAATTTGTTCTTGAACTATTTTTTCTCGAATACAGCAAATTAGGCTTATAAAAATGTCGCAATTCAGATTTTCATTAAAATCTCTGCGAGTTGAAAAATTACGTATGTTTACAATCTTTGAGGCCTCTATGCCTGCAATATTAAAGAAATAGAGTTTTCTCAGTAAACTTTGTTTTCCAAAATTATATCTTTGGTCAATGTTTTTAACATTTTTTTCAAAGATCAATAGTTTGCGCGTAAATTGTAATCACAAAATCCGCACGTGCATCAGGTAAGTTCACATTTACGCTGTACTTTTCTTATAAGCCTTTTTTGCGGCATGTCCTACGTGACTTCCCTAATTTCGAAATTTACATGTAATCCGAATACGCCTCGCATTCAATACATCCATCTTGCCGATGTGTGATCATCGTACCGTGACGTTTTCGCCAAATGGCTTGTCAACCACCACTGAGCCCTTCGCCGTGTACGTGGTCTTCGACTTTCGCTTAAAGATCACACCTCCCGTGTGAATGTAGGCGTCCTCGCCTCCGCAGTCACGGAGCCCCTGCGGTAGAACTGTGACCTGGAAGAAAACGCGGCATAATAGTCATTTATTACATAAGACGGCTGATTAGTTCATTAGTGATTTCAGGCAGATCTCAATTCACCACACCAAAATTACGTTTAGAGCCGTGATCAACCCTATGATGAAGAAAACAATATTTTTTGCAGTTCTTTTGCCATGATAAAAGTTGAAACATTGCAATCAATGATAGATTTTCGAGATTTGGGAATTTGATTACGAGTAGAGAACAACATATTTCAGTGATGGTACAGAATGACACAGACGTTCCCGCAAAAGTTTTCTAATGTCTTGAGTCTTGTTTTCTTATCTCTATAGTGCTCCACTCTCTTCCAAGTTTCTACATATCTGTGGCTTGAGGTAATTTATTTCCCGCTTCCTCAATTTAACACATCACAATCCTCAACATATGCAAAAGTGAATATAAAATGCCGGTAATGTAAATAATAACAACGTAAGAGATATTGGTAACAAATTATAATACGTTTTTATAACTTTTAAAAAATAAAGAGAATATATAAAAATGGTCTTAATGTTATCATATTCAAAGCATTTAGTACTCTATGTAGAAAACGTTTGAAGAAAAATGTGAAGCCGATTATAAGAATGTCTTGAGATTCAATTTCATGGAGTTTGTGTGACGTCTCTCAAAAATTCAATGTTTTTTTTTCAAAATTGCAGGTCTTTTTCATGGGTCAGACTGGTCAGAGCATATTCATTTTATCAAACTATTGAATAATTTTGGCGCATCTACTTACCGTTTTGCAAAACAAAATCAAACAATCACACTTTTGTGCATCAAGGAACCCGAAAACGAGTATTTTTTTTAATATTCCGAAATTCACTTTCCTACACCATTATATTCGTATTACCCTATGTGCGCTACTTTGTATAATACGTACGTATGTGAAGGAGTACTCACATTTATTTTAGGCTGTTTTTCACATACACCCCATTCACATCCAGTTGGGCAGCATAATGAGTGACTTGCACAATCTTCATCAGTGTAACAACTTCGGGCTGACTCGGGGCTGACTCCCAAACATTCATCCTCACTCATCCCCTTAAAGTAAGAACACGTCCCATTTACGCGTGTTATTACGAACAATAGAGAAATCAGGAGAGAAAATATGAGTCGTAAAGCAGCCATCATGCTTTCATGAATGATTCCATAACTTAAGTTTGCTTTTCATATTCTTATATATCCGTATTTATCAACTGATAAATGTTGGTAAATTTCATGGTGACACATATCAGTCAACACATAATAATGATGATTATATTATCGGAAGGTAATATATGTAATAATTTAAGGAGAATTGCAGCCACATCATGACCTATAATTCCCATCCTTCAACGCAAACAAAATAACCTAGTACATGTGGTAATATTACTCGCGCAACTTTTCTTGAACGATGACCTTGCTTCGCTTCCCTGGCACAATAAACAGTGGAAGACAAAAGCTCGCAGGGAACAGGGTTGACAACATTCTAAACACATCTGCGCTAGGGCGAAATAAAAACTATGTTCCGTTGAAACTGAGAACTTCTCTCAGTGATTTTTGTCACAAAATCTTTAAAAAATTACCGAATAAGGTGAAGATCCATCACAAGAGATGTCTCAAACTCCTGAAAAAGTTAGAACGGAAATTATTGAGAAATTTTCGAAGGCATGACTGATCCTTCAGAGATTGCCATTGCTTCATAAAATCTAATGATCGATTTCGTAACTAACACCCACATCTCTTCCATCCATAGTTAAAGAAAAACTGCGCGAGTAATAACAGAGTTTTATGAGCAACGAAATGAATAACGATAAATCGTCTTCTGGAAATGATTTTCTGTTGAGAAATAAACGTATTTTTATTACAGAAAATACATTTTAACAGCAAATGAGTTCAACTCTGAGGCAGTAGATACTAAAAGTTTGCTACTCTCCAATGGCTGCGTCTCACATTTTAGGGGAGTAAATGTTCTAAGAGTTAATGATTATAAAATTGTGCTAAAAAGTTTCAAAATAAAAATGGTGGATCCAAAATTTATGTATTTTTCAAGATACTAAACTTTTTTGTACAGTTTTAGTTGAAAGTTGTAATGGAAATTCGTTAAATATAATAATAATTCTTCTGTATATGCAGTATTTATTTGTTATTAAAAATAATTGTATACACTTTAAAATACATAATATTGTTTTCAACAAACAAATTACGTTTTGGCCTTGATTTTTATCCTATTGTGTATAAGTGTACAAACATAAATGTTTATTCGGAGTAATAATATATTTTACTGAACATGTATTTATTTTAATTAATTAATTGAAAGTTTATATTAAACTGATTCATTTAGAAATAAAATAATAGAAACATTATAATATTACAAGTTTAATAAATTTTCTGCGAAATTAGGCTATTTTACAGAAAAAAGGATATATTTATAAAATAAAAAGTATTTATAATAATGTAATTATTTTGTTTCACAAATATATAAATGAATTAACTATTCATTTCATCTAAAGTATCTTCAACTATTATATTTTAACAAGTCTCCCGGCATCGTCCATAAATAACTGAGCACTGCACTTAAACTTCTTTTGTATAACATACTCCTTTACAATTTCAAGACATTATATGTAATTACACGTCTGGAGTGGAAAAGGAAAACGTGTTATTTATGTAATCCACAAGTTTGAAGAAAGTAAAAGGCTGTGCGTGGTCAATATAAACAAAATGTCTTTAATATTTTTTTTAGCTATACGAATTCTCAATAAATGTAATAAGTATATTGTAAAAGGTAAAATACTATCATAATGTTCAGAAAAATGAGAATAGTTGTAAACAACTGGCATGCATTGTAAAAAAGTAAGTGAAAATGTGTAGGTCCGCGAGACCCGCGATGGGTGTACACGCAGCATCAAACCGAGCATCCAAAAGGAAAGTAATATTAATTTTAACAATGACATTAAATGTATTATATACCATTTGGATTGTATAATTTTAAAGAACCTGTAACCAGTATTGCACTTCCGCTTCTGGGTCAATGACCCCCATCTCGATCAGGTTTTCGTTCACTTTCCCTGATCCTCGAGCAAATGCTGAGATGGCTCCTTGTTTTTCTTCTGGACATAAATGTAACTTCAAATTAACTTCTCCCCATAGCACGTCAAACGCAGTTTTTAACTGTTTCTGACGTCAATCAATAAATAACAAACGTAAGTAAGAAAGGTTGGGTGTTCGAGGGTTAACCTTCCAGCGGGTACGCGGTCGTAAATTTTACAATAGGAGATTATTTGTATTTGCTGAGAACTCATTGTTACAAAAGACTTTTGATATTTCTTGCAGATATCTTTAGTTATGGATTCCTACAGCCACTGTTTAGTTTGCACGCGATATTCAGTTTTTGTTACGCTCTATTCAAGATAAGGTTATTGTGTTGTAAACCTTTCCTAAACTTAAAAGTACACAAATTTATTAAAAAGCATTATTTAAAGAAAAAATAAATGCAACACATACCGAGAAATTATTATAATATTTAAGGAATTTCAATTACAAAATTACACGGAAATATACAAAAAACGTTTTGTAAAATTTTCAAAAATACATACGCCATCTTGAATACGTCATTTTGAATTTTAAAACGTTATGCACAATCACATAATTAGTAACTCTCAGACTACTTACAAGCACAAAGTTTTAAAAAATGTTTTTTCTCGCTCCAAATACAAGCAAATGCTGTAAATGTCGCGAGGGGGCACTCCGCCCCCCTCCAAAAATAGGGGACCCGCAATCAATTAGGCAAACCACCTACATGGAACTCGGCTCAAAAGCAAATTTCCGAGACAATTATTTGACCCTCCGTAATCTACTCTGTTCATAAGAATTTGAACTACTGGCTTCTCCTACTAACATACGCAAAGTGTCTTTGCGCAGGTCTGTCTCCCAACGACTACGACACCCCCGCCGATGTACGTACGAAATGTACCGAACACTCGAAGATAATAAAACAATTGAAAGGCTTTCATGAACACTCGTTGAACATCTAACCGCGAGCATTTACCAAAATCCCCGGCGTCGCCCCGGCTGCCGGAGAGATGTCATTAGCAAAGTGCTGAGCCCTTCACCCCGGCACGCGGTCGGACAGCCCCCCCCCCCCCAATATCTTCAGGCTACCAGCAGATGTGAACAAACATTTCGAAGAAATTGCTACGTACCTCACTCGCCAATACTTGCTGGCGTGGCCGCCCCCACCCTGTCTTAACCGGCACGCTAGACACCGCGATCCAATGTGAGGACCAAAATTCAAATACTAAAAATGGTAAGCGGCCGGTAAAATGGCAAGCCTCACGACACACCCCATACTATACTCTAGCCGGTAATGTCGCGTGATCCTCCCTTCCCTGGACTCGGAACCATTTCGAACATTAAATACGGCAACTTCGCTCCCACGCGTGACCGACAAAAAAAATTCACAGACTCTCTCGGACACAATCGTCATACACGAACTCGGAGACTAGTATTGAGACTACTACACATTATTCTCTAGTTCAGACTATTCAGACAATTACTAAGAGTACAATGAGAACAACACAAGTTTCTGTTCAATAATCAAAGTACTGCAACTTTGCTACTACTAGCAGAACGCCAAATGCAACTCTCTTGCGAACATAGGCATCAGACTACAACTGTGTAGGCAAACGATTAATATTGACACATCCACTGGCAGACAGACTGCCAACGAGTCGATTGCTCTTGCTTCGCCTACCGAGGCTTCGTCAAGAACCAAGCTAGGCCGCTAGCTCTAACTTCAGGCCTGTTCGTGAGCAATGTAGTTTGTGAGCAATCACGAACATCAGCCGACATCTGGGCCGCTGTGACATCTAGGCCGCTAGCAGAATCGTTTGGACCCAACCTAATCTCTGATGGCATCCACACACTCTGCCGATTGGTTTGGATTGGCGCTCGCCGTTCTGCATACTGTGACCAAAGGTGCCCTTGAACTTCAATAAAGAAGAACAACCATTAACTGCAAAAACTTTTATTGGGCTTCCAACTTTCTACAAACTAATTAAAATAAAATCACTTGTGCATAGCAAAAAAATACATTTCAACGCATTGAAAACTACATATTGCCTGTCATTCGCTTGAAAAGGAAACAATGCCTTGAAACCCGCTCTTATCCTGTGTTGGCGCACTCGCTACACGGCACATCCTACCGTGTTGCAACTGGTGCATTTTGTTTTGCTCACGAACAGACCGACTTTGACCACACGCGTATTCACCGTGCATTTACCGGGGCTCCGTATCATTATCACAGTAGTAGGTGCATGCAAGCAATCAGAGGATCAGCATTTAGCTAGGTCCGCTTTTTATCCCCCATGGTTGTTAGCCTTGGGGTATGGTAGTTAAAATGATGATAGTGAGGGGTGAAAGGACGACTCACACGCACACAACACAACCGTGCCTAGACGGGACACGAATTCGCGATCTTCTGGTCCGAGACTTCTATGGCACTGCGGCCTTAGTGATCTCGGCCATCTGATCGGTTCATCTGCTACAATTAATTAATTAATTAATTAATTAATTAATAATAATAATAATAATAATAATAATAATAATAATAATAATAATAATAATAATAATAATATTTGTAACCATTATAGTTGGGTAAAGCATGGGCTTGGGGTCAGATCCACCCAAGTATAAACGTGGATCCCATGGTGGGTTTCAAGCCTGAGTAAAGCGTGCGTGTTTTCAGTTTTCCAGTCAATTGTTTAAAGGCGATTAATTTCAGTCCTTCGTGAGCCATCTTAGTTCCCTTTACCCATCCATACACACCGTTCATGACGGGCAACTCTGCGTGAGACATTTATGCAATTTGTGTTATTTATTGAGCTGGTCCTTTACATCCAGAACAATGACACAGGCACAGACATCGGACTAGAGCTACCTTGGATAGATTTTTTGCTGAACTATTCAAAATTAGAATGAACGCCGAAAAAAGAGAGGCAACTGACGCCCCTATCAGATAATGATGGATATTTTAATGTCTATATTGGAAACTGTGAAAGCGCTTAAACATAGATTTCATGTGTGTGGCAATTTATGCCACTTGCTAGTTATTACGAATTTTCAATACAAAAGATAAACGATAGCGATAAAAAGCCAGTCTAACTCGAACGAAAAATTTACAATTATTACGGCAAAAATTCGTCACTCTTGTGAAGCTATCATGCAGCATTTACGAACTTTATACACTTTTTATGGTCGGAAAATTGCTTTAGAGACCAAAAATTACATTGCCGATGATTTCTCACTGTCAAATTTTCAACACAAATGAAATATATTTTAGACGACCCACCATATAAAAAGCAAACCGCCCTCGAAGAGCAATCCTCGGAAATTAATCCGTTGACCGCGCGATTTGGCTCAATAAAACCGCACTTGCCCCTGTGCTCGGAAAATAGTACCCAATTTAATTCGTACGCGTGTGGGAAACATTAAAATCCCCAAAATCAAAAGAGGCATTTAGTACGTTGGGTACCCTACGCGTTCGGTGTTGGGTATGCGCAGCAGGGAGTAGAGAGGACAAAAAGGACGTCCCGACGGGGTGCTTGCGGAGCGGGGCGGGGCGGGGCGAGGAGAGGCTGGGCGGGGCGGGACGGTGCGGGGCGCTGGGACGGGCAGGGCGGCAAACGATGCATGAAACAGTCGACGAAACAATGCGGCCGCGGCTATTAACAGAGCAATGGCCGAAAATGGCAGAATCGGCGAGCTGCGTTAAAACAACTGAATGAATAACACGCTCGCCATAAAAGAGCGCGCACTGCAGGACTCCGTCCCTACCCCCGCCCCGCGTGTCGGCCTTTCCAGAAGCGATGTCGCCGAAAACCGGTGTCATCCTCGTGTGTCTCCACTGCTATCGCCGTTTAAGTCCTGATTTCTGCGTCGTTCTCCAGCATTCCAGTGGGCCTCTGCGCCACTCTCGTTGGGGTTTAGGTCTCATCTTTAAGTCCCTCAAAATATATTTGCGGTAAATTATTAGTAATTAAATTGTTAAAAATTAATGCAATAATTTCTTAACAATTTCTATAATTTTCGTAAGATAATTATTCTAATTTGATATCAGCCAAACATAATTTTTTGAAATGAAATGGTGAAACGTTTTGCTTGTGATAACGGACGAGTAATAAAATAGGACGAATGATTCAACTTGTTTGAATTTTTTCTGCTTTGCTGCCATACAAGCTTGACAAAGCTCTATCGATCACATGGTCTCTTCGTTACTCCATGCCTGCCACTGCAGACCCTTTCGCAATCTGGGCGGTCTTGTTCACTGTCGCTGCTTCTCATTTCTGTTCTCCGCAACTCCGATCTCTCCCCGCGTCTCACCACCCACCGCTCCGCTCACCCGAGCGGAGATCAGATGGACGCGCCCCTCGCGAAGATTTTTTGTATTTTCGATCCACGCTGCCTCTTCCCTTCCCCTCGACTTTGTGACAGCGACGAGTACTAATGCTCATGATAGGGCAAGCGAGCTGCAGTTGCCCGTTTGCCACACGGTCTGCGCGCTATCTGTCGGTGGCGTTTTGCTCCGAGAATGACTGTGGGTGCATGTTCTTCTTTAAACCGGCATTTCGTTGCTTCGTGACGGTCCAGATTCCGAAGGATGAGATGGGCAGTAAATGGGAATGAAAAATACATTGCAGAGTTTTTGCAAAAATGGGAGGATCATTGGGGCTTCCATGATACAATAACCAAGAGGATATCATAATTTAATGTTTAAAATATTCCTTCCTTACTATTTAGTTAGAGGGAATGAAAACTGGAGGAGAGAAGAAAATGGGAGAGAGTTAGAAAGAAATAAAAAGGGAGAGAGAGAAAGAGAGAGACAAAGGTAGATAAAGAGAAAGAAAGGGAGAGAGATAAAAAAAGAGGGAGGAAAGACAAAGAGAGCGAGAGAGAGAGGGGGAGAGAGACTTCAATGTGATCATTATTTATGGAGAGATACTTACTACTTTCCTCATTTATTCTTTAAGGTCGGTGCACTGCAATAATCTAATCAGAGATCGGTTAATGTATGCGTTGCACTTTCTTAAACATTATATATCCCCATTATAATATACCGAAAAATTTAGCGGACTAATCTATCAAAACGTAACTGTCTGGGAGGTATGTGGCATTAATTTCTCTCTCTCCAGATTCCAAAACAGTCTAATTGCGTATTAAGCTGCATAATAGTTCATCAATTTCGTTTATTTTTCAAGTCAAACTTTACAAAAATGAAATCAATTTCGCCATAATAACAATTTAAATGCAAGTTCTAATAATCTGTGTAGTTAACTAGTGAAGCTTCAACAGCACATACTTTCCCGCATATTTATTACATTTTTTAATTTTCAAAAATTTACAGGTTAATGAAAATAACACGTGCGCCAATTCTTCGTCGTCCTTTGTTCTGTCCCAGGAAAATGATAAAAAACTTGGAACCTTTTTGAAAAAAGCAACATTTTTTTATAGATTGCATTAAATGTACTTTGAGGTGACAAAAGTCATGTGCCAGCAATATGCAATTACACTGATTGCAAAAGCGCCATCATCGCGTACAGAAGGTGTGAAAGGCCAGCGCACTGGCAGGCCTTTAATCTGTACTTACGTGATTCACGTGAAAAGGTTTCTGGCGTGATTATGGTCGCCTGACAGAAATTTACGGACTTTCAACGCGGAATAGTAATTAGAGTTAGACGCATAGGACATTCTATTTCGAAAATCGTTAGGGAATTCAACATTCGGAGAACCACAGTCTAAAGAGTGTGCCGAGAATACCTAAATTCAAACATAACCTCTCACCTCTGATACTCTGTCTACCTTTTGTTATTATTTTTTTCCTTCCCTTTCTCCTCGCTTTTTGTTTGTTATTATCATCAACAACCATTTTTTACCTTCATTTATACCCAAAGGATCTTTTTTATTCAACTTTTTTATTTCTTTTCCCTCTTCTATCACTTTCCTCTGTGTCTCTGTCACAGTTACTCTCGCACGTGGAGTCTCCCAGTTTCGTGAACCTGGAAGTTCGAAATAGGTGCCCAATAACTTAGGCGGGGCGAGTAAGGCAAACTTCATATAAATGCATTGAATACAAACGGCTTATTGGATTTTTGCCGTGCGTATCACGGGCCTGGTCCGCCTCCTCTCTCCCCTCCCCTCCGAGTGGGTGACTTCCGCTAGCCAGAAAAGTTGCGAGCGACAGTTTCCCCAAACACGCGGAGGACGAGAGGAGGCGAGGGCGCTGGGGCGGGGCGGTGGTACACACGCGCGGGGGGAAGAAGGTAGGGGGCGTGGAACTGCTGAGGAAGAGGAGTGTTTGGGTAAGCGAGTGATGTACATGGGGAGGCTAGTAAAGAGAGTCCGACTGCGGGGGTAGGGCGAAGAATAGACGGAAGAAGAAGGGATAGCGGGTGGCAAATCATTGAAAATAGGCTAATGGTTGAATGCCTGGGAAATACGATGAACAGATCGGGAATTTTCCATTACGTGAGATTGACAGTATGCGAAAAAGGACAGGTTCACGAGCAGGAGTGGGTAAGAGGTGAAGATTTTGGGGATGCGAGAGTGGCCCGCGTGATGTACATGGGGAGGCTAGTAAAGAGTCTGACTGTGGCGAGTAGGGTGAAGAAGAGATGGAAGAAGAAGAGATGGCGGGTGGCAAATCATTGAAAATAGGCTATTGGTTGGATGCGTGGGAAATACGATGAACATATCGTGAATTTTCCATTAGGTGAGATAGACAGGATGTGAAAATGGACAGGTTCACGGAGGGGCGGGGAGTCGGTGAGAGGTGAAGATTTTGGGGGTGCGAGAGTGGCCGGGAAATGGAAGTTGTGACGACGTGGAATACGTAGGGGTGTTGAAATGATCAGAATGTTGGTTAAGGTGAAGTGGTGTGGATGGCATGATGCTGCATATGACGATCATGGCGGATAAACGCATTAAAAGCGGTGAAATTTGATTATGGGGGTTGGAGACGCTATGGGAATGGTGAGGTGTCAGGACGTAGAGGCGACGGTGCTGGAGAGTACGGGGTGACTTTCGAGATGGGAATGGGAGGGAGAGATCCCATCCGGAGGCAGAGGGCGGGACGGGAAAGTCGGCGCAACCCCGACAGAAAGAGCAGAGGAAGGTAGTGGGTGCCAGTGCGCGAAGGGCGGCTGTGATGAATATTCCTGTTTTGATAGGGGATACATTTTTGAGAAGTTTCATGGACATAAAAAAATGCTCTATCAAGAAATATTGAAAAATACCATGATATGAAATGATCACGATTTCACAATGTGATGAAATATACGAAAGGAACTTGTTAGACTAATTCCGATAATTGGCCAGATTTATTAATTATTATTAATATTACTACTATTATTATTATTATTTATTATATTATTATTATAATATTATTATTCTTATCTTACATTATTCACAGTATCTACTGGTCTATATGTTAACCACACACAGGAATTATGACCAGGTGTGTGGTTGCTTTACTGAAGGTTGAGATGGCTTCTGACAATACGGCATGTATTGTATTATTATTATTATTATTATTATTATTATTATTATTATTATTATTATTATTACTATTATTAGCTGAATAGGTACTGTAACATTCGTTTGAAAACACCTGAGGAGGATTTTAGGAACTGTTCCCATACACGTGGTAAATTCATAGGTAATAAGAGTCTGCACGGTACGTAACGGTAGTAAGGGTAGGGAAAAAAAGCCACTGACAAAAAATATTTTTTTAACTCACGACTCCAGTAAATAATCTTCACACTAAACGATTCTTCCGTCACAATTTTGTTATACTTCCAGTTC